TTAGAATGTTTTCTGTTCTGCCCACAGAAGGCGAATACCTTGCCATAAGAGCCTGGTGTTCTTTGTTCGCAGAGTTTGGGCGGCGAAGATTGCGTTGAGGTACATTATCTCGGGCCTGATTAACTCAGAATAGTGCTTTACAAGTGATGCAAGACGAGATTTGTAGGCCAGTTCTTTTTACCTTCTCAGTGATTTCAAAAAGGGCGAGGTGATTCTACCGGTAAAGACAAACAAGGTTTTCATTGGACAGCACAATTTAAAGATTGATTTAATCGTATCCGTGAGCGGATTGACAGATTTAAAAAGTGAAGGACAAGAACCAAACCAAGACTGAACAATCACAATAGAACGATTGAGAAGAGAGATACGGTTGGGTGACAAGTCCCTTAGGTGAAATTTTATCTGAGTAGAATATGTAAATGCTTGATAAGAAATGCGAGAGTATACATTAGGTCTAACAAGAAGAATACTATGGTCACTGGTAGAAACCGGGGCCCATTAGTTTGAGAGAGAATAAGTTGGGATGATTTGTGATCACTGTCCAGCACAGAACTGCCTCTGGTAGGAGAATGAGAAAAGTCAAACAAACCAAACAGAAGCAAGGGAGAAATGCTTGCATGATTGAAATCGCCAACAAGGAAGTGGAGATTTTCATCTAATAATGGAACTAGAAATGGAATATAGGAATCAAAGAAAGCAGAAATGTCGGTCCGAGTACACGAGGGAGATATATACACATTGGTGATAATTGTGCTTTTGTGACGAGAAAATTTAGGGTGACAACAAGCAGACAAACAGTCAATGCACTTTTCAGAATAGCTATATATAACTTCTGACTTGATCGGTTCCCGTTAATTAAGACACCCTGACCATTGTCAGGCTTCTCAATTCAGCTTTTAAGATAAATCAACAGTGCCATTTCACCATTTTTTGTAAGCACATCAGGAAAACTGATTAATATTGACTCACATAGCCATCGCGATTATACCAGAGAACATTCAAGGTGAAGGTTATTAAACAAGGTGTTCGTCTAGGTTATATGGCGTCAGTTGGCAAATGAAGAAGTACAATAGGCGAACTCGGTCAAGAATTGTATTCACATAACACGTTTTACCACTTCACGGTTTTTCAACGGTACTATAATAATCGTGATGTTCTCTGACTGTGGTAAAGGAATAGGTGCAAAGTTACTGTTCATATTAGTTTGCTTCAATGCTCTCCGTAGATGAATATGATCTTCCAGGATGCAAGATAATCGTTTATCTTTACCCCACCGTAAACTCCGATGATAGAACCGGATGAAAGACGTGTATCATTAATCCTTGCACCTGAGCAGCTCTATCGATTTTGTGAACGATACATTCGGTTCACGATATACTATTAGTCCATTTTTCATTGCTCACTGGTAACCTAAAGTATCTCTATCGGGTTCATTGTAGAGGTTTCTTTTATTGAGTTCATTCTCTCATTTTCTGTCCGAGACTGTCTTCCTCGAGCAATGTCACTGCGCAGTTCAGTTATAACTACACCCTTCTTGTGCGGGTAAATTCATGACAAGTAGGTTCGTATGAAGTGACTAAGAGTTTCCATTAGCGATGATGATTTAAAATGAAAGCACCATAAGGTACATCCTATTCATGATTTTACTGTAATTTGGAATCTCGTTTTCTACAGTCCTCCAATCCGACCTACTTCGTCAAAGGAGCAGTAGACCGTGTTTTGCGTCATTGCATTTTCGTTCGCGATCCGTCACCCAGCCTGTCACCTCCAAATCCAGTTTCACCCGGGCTGGCCACATTCGATGGACCTGAGGAATCATCTTCACTATCTTCCTCCAGCCAGAACCATCCGCTCCGCCCAGAGCATGCAGAACTCATTCTGAAAGAAGCTTCACAATTAGGCCTCCTTGGATTACGTGTTTTGGCTGTGGCTGAGGGCCCTGACCCGCATCGACTCACTTTCCACGGTTTGGTTGGGTTGTGGGATCCACCACGACCTGGGGTAGATCGATGCGTGCGTAGCCTCTTGGAGTCTGGAGTTCGGGTGCTTATGATCACTGGGGATTCGGTCGAAACTGCAAAAGCGATTGGTGAGTTAATCTTATTTTACTTCTATGACCTTCTACTGATAGGGCCCAGAAATTACGGGAGAAGTCATTTTCATATGAAAGCTCAATAGTGCGGTGCATATTCAAATGTATTTACGCCACACATGGTAATGGGGGAGAAAGCATCACGAGTGATATTCAGTGACCAGGAGATTTTACTGTTGCTGGGCTCGTCCGGCAAATGACTTGCCTGAATCCTGCTCGGAATTTAACTATCGAATATTTATCGCAAACAGCGTGATCGTTTGAGTCTTTATTGTTGAGCGCTTTTTATTTGAAAATCTCTCTGAGAATGATTATGGATTAGCCTAAAGGTTGAGAGTGTAATTGGAATCATTAAACGCAAATTATCAGTTGGCTAAATGTAACCAATTCTGAACAGAAAAAATATGATTTAACAATAGGTCCACGTGACCATGGATTTACGTCTTTCGCTTTTCACCATCATACAATGTATAATACATGAAAAATTTTACAACACTCACAGAGCAACTCCTTTATAATTTCGGTGTTCGTTAACAGCTCAGGCGTTATTGCTCAAAGTCGTGTACGGTTTCAAGCTAAACAACAGATTGGCGAACAAATTTTGTTCTGTAGTGATTCGAATTCTCACCAATAGGTCTCATTAATTAGGAATAAAATGCTCTTTGGATAAGAGAATGGCAAAATCATCACATCGCTAAGATTGATTTCATCAGGAGACCGGAAATCTGATTCACCACGATCACATATTTGTTTTTCCACTCATCCAATCATCGAGCTTACCCGTGATGCGGTGTGTGTGTGGGGGGGTGGGTGGGTCAGGGAGGTTTAAGCGCCTGCACAAATTTTCTTAGGCACACAGAGGATGTGTTTGTATGTGCAAACAAGTTTTCACCGCTTCTGTTGTGACCAGCATCCGACAGCAAACCTGTGTTGATCGCCCACGAACTTTATACGGGAGACGGAAAGCCACGACCACGTTCACATTGTGCTTTGCCTCAGCTAGGTGTGAAACCACTGCACTGATGACTTAATCGTTCCGGTATTCGTCCACGCAAGGTGGTGTTCACGAATCTGTTCGGGCAATCGCCTGACGATGCGGCCTGTTTACGTTGTTCCACAGGAACAAG